TTGCATTTCTATTTTTAGATGCCGAGTACGCTTCTGACAATGTGTCTCGGCCTTTTCTAATGAAAACCCTCCAACATTTAGACTGGATGTTGAATTGGATGCTGCAAATGTATACTAGAAAACATGTGAAAATTCTAATCAACAGTGTATTACCTGACAGCTTTCAAATGGAGAAGGGAACATGCCAAGGATACCCTTCATCACCTCTTTTATTGAATCTTGTATTGGAAATCATAGCAAAAACTATGAGACAGGATCCAAAAATCAAAGGCTTTAAAACAGGAGGAGAAAAATATAAAATAAAATAATGCAGATGATATAGTCTGGACTATTTTAGATTCACATCAACCCCTACAGCATATCATGGGCAACTTGGAAAATTGGGACTTTATTCAGGATATAAGATCAATAAGAAAAATGCAAACATTATATTAAAAGTCATTACAAAACAAGAAGAAAACATACAAACAATCTCAAGATGTGAAATAACTTCAAACCCAGTTAAATACTTGTGGATAAATATCACAGGACATAATGATGCAATTTTCAAGACAATTTTCAAACAACTTGGATGAAGATTCAAAAGGACTTACAAAAACGGACTAAACTAAAAACATCTTGGTTGGACAGAATTTCAATTGCAAAAATGAATGTGTTACCTAACTGAACTTTCTTTTCTACATGATGCCAATTGCAATTCTGGAAAAAGTTTTTCAAGATTGGCAGATACAATGAAATACTTATACTTGGAATGGCAACAAACCAAGGATCAGATTCCAAAGTTTACAGGGTGCAACGTAGTGAGGAGTCCTTGCTGTACCTAAGGTGAAGTTATATTATCGTGCAGCAGGCCTGCTCTATATTGCAGAGTGGATTCTAAATGCCAATGATAGATGAGAGCAGTTGGAATTGGCTGATATTGACGAGGGAAAACATGATCTTTTATGGGCTAAAATATCAGTTAAGAAGGCTCTGATCTTAAAGAACAGTCATGTGCTAAGAGATAGTTTAATAAAAATGTGGCATTCCATGACGAAAAAAAA